TTTTTCGCCACTGATAAAATTCATTATTATGTGACGAATGTACTAAAAACCTGCGTTTTGAATAATCACTATTATATAATTTCAAAGTTTCGAATATTTTTTTTCAAGATCATATTATAATATTTTTGTTCTTGAATTAAATAATTATCAAATCAGATTTTGATGTATATGTAGCTAATAGTGACCAATAATCAATTTACGTAGGACATAAGTAATACTGAAGTTTTTTAGACGAGTGATATGTAAGTGCAATTTTTGATAAATAGGTCAAAGTAAATGCGGTGATTAGTTTTTTTATTTATTCGTGTTTTTTTTAAATTTTTACTCGTGTGCACACATGACTTGTACATTACAAATCGGTTAAAAACCATGTGATTAACAATAATATTTTTTTTTTTAATGGCGTACCTATATTGGCTCTTTATATTATTACAAGTAGTGTGACATGTACATAAATACGCATAACGTATATTATAATATTGTAAATTATGGTATACATAGCTAACTTATTTTTCTCTCCAAATACGTTTTACAGTAAATCGCATAATAATAATAACAGTGTATATATATGTCTAATTTTCGTGTTTGTATCTATTATGTATGAAAACATTTTTGTTGTTTTAAATAAAAATTGCATTTCTGTGTCAAACGTTTACCCTTGCCCCGTGTTATTTTAAACGTGTGCCATGATAATAGCAGAAGTTTATGTCGTTCGTTTCGATATCTAAAGAACCGTTAGTAGGCTTTCATGTGATTTGTCAATAGTCATCACACATGTAGTTATGTAGCGCTTAAATACATTAACATTATGTACGGATGGGAAATCAATTTCTGGTAACTCGTAGCCTTGGGTATGGTGGGGCAATGTTGATCGTCGTTTTAAACCGATTTGTACATACGTTTTTGTATTTGAACTCGGCCTTAATTGTTCATTTAATTTAGAAATAATTGTATTCCGTCATTCGTAATATATTTTGTCCAAGCAACACCAGTAATAGCAATAGCAGTCAAACACCATATGTTTGTTGATTATTATGATTTTTTTATGCACGCAAGTCCTTCGACCACTGCCGTTGTCCCGCCGTATTTTTAAGTCGTGATAAATCCCTCAAGGCTTTATCTTATGTTCGTGAAGCGGTTTCATGCTTGATAATTATTGCCGTTTTTCAAAGAACGGTTTTGTTTCATATATCGTTAGACAAAAAAAAAAAAAAAATAATAAAAATAAAAATACCATATACTGAGGGGATTCGTCGTCGTCCGTTTATAAATAAAGAGTGTGTTGAAAAAGTCAAAATGGCGTCACAGCAGATGCCAAGTGCATTGGCATCTATTCTTGGACCTGGCGTCTGCATTGCGTGTGTTTTCTCCCCTTCAAAAGACTACGGCGTATACCAACGTATCGAAGGTTGAAAAATAAACACTCCGACGATCATAGGCGTTAGTTTGTAGTAATTACGTACCCTGTTACGTAAAAATGAAAATAACAAGTTTTTGGTCAACGCCCGCATATGCAGTAAATTATTAGATCAGTATATTATTATTAATACCACCCCGATGATGGGGGTTGTTTAATTTTTCACCATGTGCGAATACCCGTACAACCATAAATAATTGACGTCCATTAGTATTTTTCATTATTATTAATGGCAATAGAATAACAATTTGATAAATAATAATAACTACGACAACGGTTTATATATACGTACGTATGTATATGTAATGTAATGTAATGTATGTATGTATGTATCGTGTAATGTGCGCGCGTTTTAGCCTTGACGGATGGAAAGAAAGAAAGGCGGCGGCAGCGGCATCGACAAGATTGGTAATTCGAGACACATCGCGCGACGGAGAACAATGTGAAAACGATATTTTTATATAGATGAACATGTCACACTCGTCGACTTCTGAGTCGGTGGAATCGTGTATTGTTTTACCCGCTCGTAATGTAATATTCCCCTCCATCGCCTAGAGAAATGGTTTTATAAAATAAGCAACGGGATTTGTAGGCATTAACTGTACACGATATACAATATAATAATATGTTCGTGTGTGGTGTACATACTATACTACAACTTACATACGTGTAAGTTATTCGTTCCCGTCTTCCCGATTTGACCCTTTATGACGATTCCGCCCTTCTGAGAACCACTGAACTTCGACGATGTAGTACCTAAATTTTTTTCCGTTTCGTATTATATTATGTATACATATGAGTATAGTATATAAATAACAATAATAAATGATTCAAACGCCATATAAAGAATACGCGGTAACGTGGCTTAAACATTACACACACACACATGTTTTCGTCGGGAAGACAAAGCACGGAAACCTCGTGATGATGCATCCTGTGTGCTGTATATGCAGTAGTATAATATTTATAATATTAGAATTGCTATGGTTGAGAGGGAATAAAAATATTAACTCTTAGAATATCTTTTAATGAAGACCGAACGCGAGCAAACGAGTTTTTTTTTTGGCACTCGTTTTAGTTTTTAGATGACATTTTTAAATGCATAATGTAATAGCATAAAATGCATCACAAACGTGTTTTTAAATGAGCCGCGTACAATTATTTTCAGGCGTATTCTTCTATTTATTGCAACTGTTTTAATTTCTCGTTGTAATTATTATACTTACACATCCGATATGCGACGATTACTTGAAAATGTTTATTTTAGAGCTCTACGGAATTACAACTTATTAATAAAGTGTGAGTTTATAACTTTGACCAATAATCCGTTTTGCATAAATATATTATCTGTAGTGTGGAGCAACGCATGTACACACACACACACACACACAACGTACATATTGTACATATATGTAACAACGTACATATTGGCTTAGCTACTATGTTTAACGTCGGATAAAAGATTTTTTTTTGTGAAAGTCTACTTTTCAAACGCTGAAAGTGTTCCAGCACAACAGATGTTACCAATATATAATATTGTGTATGGTTTTGTTTTTAAATCCGTTTCTCGATCAACTAGTTGCACACTTGCACCATGCTACTGCGGCGACCGCGGTACTGCAACAATAGCAGGTTTATAATTTCTATAATATTATATTATTATGTTCCTTTTGAAAACGATAATCGGCCGCGGCTTCTTCGCAATTGTCCACTGCACGTTACTTATATAGGTATTTAGGGGCTGTGCAGTGCTCTGTACACAGATTTCCACTCGCGATCATCCCCGTGGACGGTGCATATGTTAGACAATAATAATACGATATTCGTATACGTAATATTTGATTGTTGTTATCCGTATTTGGAAAAAAAAATAAAGGGTTCCGTTTGTCGAGACCTTGATGCGCCCTCTCCCCTCCCACGCCTCAGGTAACCGGTTTTTATTACTCGCATTAAAAATACGTTCGGAATCTCCTCTCGGGGCCGGTTCTCTGCCGCCGTACAACTGATGTTCCGATGGACACATAATAGTTAATATCACACGGTAAATACGTTCGTAGACGGTCGTAGGCTCATGTGGTGGAAAACCAGCGAAGTATATCTCATATTATATCGTATGGTTAAATGGCAGAAAAAAAAAACAATCTATTTCGATTTACAATAATTTCGTCGTCGTTGACTGGTAGCGTGTGGGTGTGTGGGTATGTGCGAGGAATTATGTGTCAGGCGTGTGGGACGATTTCCTACTCCTTCTTGAATATAAATCTTGAAAATATAATAATACTAAATGATAATAAAATAACAATTTGTACACGCCCGTATGCGCGATTCTTCTACACCGAGTCATCGGAGGAAATCAGCCCGACCTTTGAATGGATTTATTCATGATATAATATCATATTATATAATTTCCGCACACCCGCTCGTCGTCACGGTCGGTAGTTAACGGTGACGACGATGTAGTTTTTGTGTATGTTATAATATATGCTACACCGTTCACTGCCCACCGCCACCGATCTAGCTGTATCCGACAGGCTTTTTTGACGTATACTTTTTTTCTTATTATTTTGATACGACGCTGCTGTTTCCGTCTTTAATTGATCGGAATTGAAAAGAACAAAACGTTTGAGCAATCCCATAAATTTGTTGCAGCGCACCCAGTCGTGCGAGGACACCACCCAAACTAACGAAAGCGAAACTTATCATTTTGCTTTGTGTTATTATTCACTTGTTATTCGTTAATAATTATCCTACTCCCGAGAGTGTTTGCTGCCTCGTTCACTATGAGAATGAAACACGATCAATAGCATTATACGGATTGGACGAAACAATGATATGATGTCAACAGTATATAAATAATTATTTTTTTTAACTCCCATTTCGGTAGCGAATCAAACAATATATTTTTTATACTTGTATACGTTTAATGTTTTTAGTTTTACTTCAATAAGAATATTATCGTATTAACTGTATTATTTTTTTATTTTTGCATCGAATATTACACACGGATAAAAACTGCGTCTCAATATATGTGTAAAATAGGTACAATTTACATGGCCAATACACCTTTTATAATATATTACTATGACGGAGATTATTCGTTTAATTTTTCAACTTTTGGTAGTTTTTCTCGAGATTCTCTTTGTATTCTGTTCGCTCCTGCTATTTACATGATAAGTAAATTTTCAATCTAGTGATAAACAACCCTTCTCTGTTAAGACAATGAATAACAGATGTCTAGACATATTTTCATTAAACCCTCCTTGGTTTAAAATTAAACTCTTAATCAAGTTGGTGGAGGTTTAAAAACAGCAAATAGAAAGAATAATAACATAATATCACTTTTTTTCCTATATGCTGAAAACATTTATGATTTTTATAAGTTACACAGTACACGCGCGTAAAATAAATTTGTTACAAGTATAGAAAAAATGATTGATAACGTGTATCATATCGAAACTATTATTATTACGTAAAAAGAGTATAATTTATTATGTATTACCTTTTCAAATATAACATTACAACGCAATAATTGCATTTTTATATTGCTGTGTATAAACTCGTGAGATTTAATTTTTGTCCACAGAAATAACCAAAGTCCGGGCCAGCCTATTCGAAGTGAACGGCGTGAAGAAGGAACCGTTGGTACTGCCGGAACCAGACGGCGCGCCTGTCACTATTACCGAAAAAGTGTTCGTGCCGGTTAAGGACCATCCGGAGGTAAGATCATGATGCGTTTGAATTATTGTCGTTATTACACATTATTATTGTTATTATTGTTTTCCGGGGTGCGGGCGCGACGTAATGTTACTGTAAATTATATTGTTTATGTAGTAGTAGTGGGGATGTAATTTTCTCACCACAAAGTTTTTTCTATATTAATGTTTAAAACAATATCAAATATTAATATAAATTCGGCTCTAGCAGTGGTGGTGTGGCGTAAACGACCGCGAGGCTGGTGTTGACGGTGGTACGTTCATGCTGGCTCAGCATGGCTAAAAATAGAGAAAATATCATGTCGCCTTTGCCGCCCACGCCGTGCCATCTTACCGGTACATATTCAGTGCCAAAATCCCAACCCGTATCGTGTGTCCTCCCCCGCTACCAGTCGGTGGGCACTCGCCCAAACGACGGGCACTACGACAAAAATAAATTTAAAAATCTTACCGTAAATCAAGAATGAGGAAAAACACGTAACTTGCGCTTTTTCCACTGGATATTTACTCGTCAAGGCAAATGTATAACAATATTCATTATTATATCCGTCATCTACAATTTTCTAGCACATTACATGTATTTCATATCATACAACACGTTGTAGTGGGGAGGGTATGGATAAACCAATGATGACCACCAAACGTGCATGGGATAATGAAATCATCAGTACTAGGAGGTTTCACATGTTATCATGTTAGTTAATATATTTCTACATTTTATTATATTAAAAAAATAAAATACGAAGTAGGTAGGTAAAAGATTATTTTATCTTTTGTCCGATATTTCACTCAATAATGTGTGAGTGTATTTCATTCATTGTTCAAGGTCTGTACTTCCTTCATCTCTATCTGTCTTGTCGTTTTTCTAACGTGATTACGTGGTAATTCACAGTTCACGTTTCAATATTTTTATTTTGCTCTTTCGTCGCCTCCGCCCCAGCATGCGCTTGCGTTTGTTTTAAAATATGTGACATCTGTACCACATGTCTGTATGAAAAACGTCCCCTTTCTTTTATAAACATATCTATAAATACGAGTGGAAGTCGTCTTGTGTACATGTGTGGTTAGTTACAACCCAGTCGCATCCCCTGTAACCACCACTGCTACCATCCTCTTGAAAACTGAATACCAGACATTTGTGTCCCGTTACTTCGTGTTGCTGTTCTGGCAGTCCTGTTTAAAAACAAATTATTTTAAACAAAAACATCTAAGTACGTTTCTCTATGGAGAACGACAAGAAATAATATATTACCTACCTACTCGTAAAATCCTCGTCGTGCGGTCGAACCCATCAAAAACGTGATTTCTTCGATTTCGAATGACCTTTTTATTTTTTTAAAGAGAATAGTATGTTGATTCCATCAGTACAGGTAGTTTTATAATAACCTAATAGTTCTGCCTATTTTAAGTTATAATTTTAAGTAACTCGAGGTTAAGTTACTATTTTATTTAAAAATTACCTTGGAGTTGAGTCGGTAAAGTTTAAGAAAAGTATAAGCTTTCTAAATAAAAATTAAAAATTTCAATTTTATCAATCATTTTTAAATTGATAAGAACACTAACAGCTTTATTTTATTTATATAGTTATAATAATAATAAATTACTGTATGTTATAAAGCAGTTTTATCTGAAATTTGAATCATATTAAAATATAATACTGTAATTTTATGCTGGAGAAACCAACGTAAAGAATGACGCATAAACTCAGCTGACTAATAATGTTTCAAATTAATCAGCAAATGCCAATTTGTCCTCATATTGTAATAATGAATTGTGAAGTATATACGATTGTATCAGGTCAAATTTAAATTTATTTTTCAATTAATCGATAAAGTTAATGAGTACAACTACAAGACGATCATAAGTAAAAATTGGTAGGCCTTGGAGTCAATACGTTGTTTTAAAACTACCTGTACTGGTGGAATCGATGCGTTCCCTCGAATTGTACCAACAATTCATTGTATAGTTAGTATGTGGGTAGGCAATGTGTCCAGTGGCGTAAATAATGATCAGTTCGAAGTGCGATTCAAAGATGGCCGCTCAGAGTGACTATGGCGGTGATTAATCTGTAAAAAATAAGTCTCCTCACGACGAAAAACGCGCACTCTGTGCCGGTAGCGGTGTTGACCTTTTTCCCTGTTTGAATCTATTTTTAAGACACTGTAAAGAAATAATTCATTAAAAATTCGCTAATGAAATTAAAATTCATATTTATCATAGTTTTTTTTAGCGTAAAATATAAATTGCCTTGTGTATACTACGTACTATTGAACTATTATATGATTTGACATTTTTTATTTATTTTATTTTTTTATACAATTACACTGTATATTTTATTTATTATTACCACATATGCTATTATAGATCCTGCTGATCCACTCAGAATATCTTGCAATTGGTTGAATATTGCAATCAAATAAATTTTTTATACGTTATTTAGCCATTTAGGTACCTATGTATTTTCTTTTATTGCATTCTTCAAGAAATTCAATTATTTTGAACACGTTTGATTTAAATTCTTTAAAGTATCTATACATTTTTCTAGTATTAATAATTTATTATTTATTATAACTGTGACCAAGCTTTCAACAATCTTTTGTATGAATAATGCACAACTTGTATTTGTGTTGCGTATATTGTCATGTAATAGTAGAAAATAATACAAAATTATTGTCCAAGTTTTTTTCATTTAGTTTAGGAAATTGACTTTTTATTTATTTTTTAAAATAAATAAATAAATTCATTATTAGTATGCGTTTTATTTTAATCTTTATCTATATAAATTATTTTTGTATGACTTATCAATTGATAAATTTAATAATATTGACTATTAACATTTAATCAACTGCAAAACTTTAAAGCATTTATTAATTTATTCAATTTTTCTATAAGATTACAAATGTTAGAATGTTATAGTACTTGAATATTTTATTAAATATAGATTGCAGTTCCTTTGAACCTAGTAAATAGTTATCTATACAGATATATATATATATATATTATAATATGTTATATAGTATATTTGATAATTGTAAATATATTTAAATGTGCTAGAGGATTTGTTGTTGAATTAAAATTTTTTACATTAAAACGTATTTGAATTTTGTTTTACGCTAATTTTTCACCTACTTAATATTACTGTCGTACCTCGGAAGCATTTTCTGGCGGAGTCGTAGAAAAGTATAATTTACGTAATTCTGATTATTTTATTTTCATAGGTAAAAATAATGACATCGACCGCCTTTTACGCTCATCAATTTATCATAAATATTTTCTTATATTTTTTAGTGACAGGGAGGAAAATGGAGTTTAAATGTTATGCACTCAGTAGAATGGGTTTGGCATGTCCTTGATGCATGTGTTTATATAATAATATAATATTTGTAATACTCAACGGATTGAATGAATGGGATGGTCCGAAAGACATGTCCGGTCGTGGATGCCCATTAATGGACAACAGTGGCGTGTACATATTTTTCTAATTTTTATTTATTATTTTTATTTTGTCTACTCTACAATTGCGACCTACGCGAGTTAGGCGTTATAGCGAATAGTTCTGAGAGGGAGTGGAGAAAGAGTGGGATAGGAAAAAAAGAACTTTACTTATTACTCACATCAATATATTCAACGCGGGGTTGTAGATGTATATGTAAGTGATTTGCATCTCGTTATCATCATCATTATTATAATTTTATTAAAAATCTAATGAATGATGTGTGTATATCGCAGGCGTAATAATGGCATTTCCAAAATGAGTAATCCCACGCTATTAAATTTCCATATACTACCACCGTCTGTATATATTATTTTCGTCTTTTAAATAATCGTCGTCTACACACACTTCTATATATATATGCAATGTTAAAGATCATAAACGTGCCAGAGAAAACATGAGAGGACCATATGGTCGGGTTCTTTTTTAGGATCGTGACAACGCTGAATATGGCCAACAAGCAATGGCGCCCTCGCAGTCTCTGCTGCCGCCGCCATTGCCTTGTGTCCTTAGTGTTTCTTATTTTTTTTTTCTATCCAAAACCGTTTTTCCGTTTCTTAGCAATTCTCCGTTCATTCGTAATAATAATAATAATAATAATAATAATAATAATAATATTAATAAAAATAAAAATAAAAATGAATGGTGACAAATGCATTTGTGTGAAACTTTTGTGTATCGTGTACATGACATTTACATATATTATTATTATTTTAGCATATTATTCCCGGCGAGATTGCGAGAAGCTTAACTTTAGGAATAAAAGAGAGAAAGAGAGAGATTGAGAAAAAGTGTGTGTTGGCTCGCCTATAAAGAGAGGGGTTTTAATCCTTTTTTGGTGTTAGCACCGTCGTTATTCGGGTTTGGCCAAAAACGGTTCATTAGCACAACGATTATATTATTGTGATGTGTGGTAGTTAGTTATTTTTCGTCGCCGCAAACCATTGTTGTGATTTGTGGTGGTGCCTATTATCATCGAGTTGTTACTATATATATATATAGCAATAATTAATGATAAAATAAACCTATTATATATTTTATTTATCCTTAATCGGCGGTAAAATTAATTGTTGATTCTTCTCACATGAATTACCATTTCTTTTTCTGGCTTGTCATTTCAAGTTGTTGTGAACTCGTGAATTTCGCTAAGCCTAAGGGTTATACACAGTCGCCATTAGACGAATAGTTGACTGTTTATATTTTATTGTTGATTTTTGGTTTAGTAAATAATTGTCTGAAATACATATTTTTTTTATCTATGAAATGTTTGTAGTATAATTGCATATATGGCTTATTAAATATTACTAGTATTGTAATTATTAATTATTAATACGTACATGATGTAAAAATTAAATCTCACTATCGTTGTGTATTTATAACATGTTTTATTATTTTGATAATGTACAATAATGCTTTAGCCATGTTCAGTCTATAAATCAGTGATTTTATGTATAATTATCGGCTTTCTATTATATCGAATCCGCCGAGGTCATTGTAGTATACCTAAATCTACATAATTATCATTCGGGTCTTATAATAACAATTTCGATGAAATATTTTGGTATTGTGATACATCATTAGTCATACTTGGGCTGTGCTTTACATTTGTAGCTATTAGATATGTTTAATTGATAAATATTATAAGTATAATAACAATAACCAATGTACTGCGGAATGGGTCACGGAGTTAAGTACAGTTTAACTTCATAAAATTATTAGTTGTGTATTTTTATCTCGTTTAAATATGATATAAATAGATTATACAATATTTGTGGGTAACTGAGAGTGAGTTCAATATAATTTAATCACTTAAACACCGTTAAGCGTTTTTGTGCAATACAGTTACAAAAAGGAATTTGAAATAAAAAAGGTTATAAAAAAAATTGCGCACAGGCTACAATAATGACCAATGAGGGTTTTTTTATATTTGCCCCTAAATGTCGTTATGAATATGTTTCTAGGGAATTTTGAATGTCTGTGTCACCATTGCCTCTACCGTGGATTCTACGATCTCAGGCATTGTAATTACAATAATTTAAAATATAGGTACATAATATGATATTTTATTCTTTGGTAATAACGTCTTAGTCGTAATAGTTGTAGTATCATAATAATACTGTTGAGGACTAGGTGTAACCGCGGTTACGCATGTCTACAGAGGAGTGCCATCCATAAAATAATAGTTAATGCACAAGCAGGCTTTGTAGAACTATTATTAATTATTATTGTCATCGTCCACTTCTTGATCCAGCGGTATAACAAAGGGAAATAAAAATAGACGACGACGAGCCTCGGTAGATGTTTAAAACGTGAAATTAACGTTTCTGTAATTTTTTTAACAATATTTTGAATATAAAAATTTTATCACGTTATCGTCATATATGTATTTGATTGTGTGTTGTAGTAGTGGATTAGTGGAAGCTAGGTTTTGTAAGAAAATAACGAGTTGGGACGTAAACATTTGGGAAATAATTTTTCTGTAGAATTGTATTGATTTGGAAATATTATATTTTTTGGTAAAAAATGTACATGCAAACGTATTTTATCTGAAAAGTATATGAAAGTAGTAAGTTTACTAGAAAATGTTTGTTTAGAATCGTGTACCGTAACCCAATAATATACATTCCCGGTGAAACAATTTCCATGGAAATAATTTGTCAAGTAAAAACGATTCCAAAAAAATATTGTTTAATACATATTTTATAATAGTTCTAACAACTCGTGTTTTCTAACAGAATATTTTATATAAAATTACATTTCCGATCGAACCGCTTCAAATTTAATACATTTCAAGCAAATACTACAATTTATTGATAACTATCCAATAAAAATAAAGTTCCAATTTCTACTATTATATGTTTCTCACAACTAGAGTTCGAACAGATAATTTTTCTATTTTTTATGCGTGCCAGTAGACTGTAGTAGTGGGTATGTGCACGAGGTAATCAATTGCACTTAAAATTATCTTTTTAATTTTTATATAAATTTATTGCGCTCGGTGTTATGTTCGAGGTTTGTAGATCAAACACCGCATTAGATAATTTTTATTAGTTATTTTTAATTATTAAACATTCAGTAAAACCTAAGTTACTTCACTTATATTAAATAAAAACATAATATTATAATGAACATTTCGATATTTGAAATATAATAAAAATTATTTACAATCGTGCATTTAATAAAAGTATGTATTATGTAGTGCGACAAACCGATTTGGCTATATTAGACAGAAAATGAAAACTTTATTTCTTCTGTAAAATTTCACTCAAATTCTTATTCATTAGCTATAATGACTTATAGGTAGTTAAAAACTCCGATACTGTTATAGGATAAGGATATTGGCTGTAAATCAGCTACCTACTAAAATGTTAAATGCAAAAATATATATTTTTTTACCTACCGTAAAATATAAGGAGCACAAATTATCTTAGTGCACTCAGCTTAAATTACAAATTGTGTTTAGAGGCAACTGGCCTATGCCCGCGTGTTTACATGACATTTAAAGCGTCCCAATCAACCTAGTCGTATATTGCATAATATTCGTATACGCCGGCCATAAAAAGGAAACCTCGCGTGTTTAAATTGTCATTTGTATATTATTCGAATCAATTAGTATAATATTATAATAGTGATGTGTGGAGACCACTCGACTGTTTTATAATCGTAATATATATACTACAATTATTATTAATATATTATACTATTTGTAAATATGTATATAGTGTGTGTTGAAAATATGAGAAATCCTATTCAAGTACGTTGATCGAAGAAATTAACGTACCCATTGGATGCTCGTTGAGAGACAGCCAGTGATATTATGTACATACATGATGTTAACGTTATTTTAAATGTCATTATTATCTATCGATTTGTTACAATAAATGCCTTCTCAGTATATTAATCTGCACTTTATACTAATTATTCATAAATCGTCATCGCCAATACATATAATAAATAAATATTAAAAGTTAGAAATGGGGATTTTTGTTATTTGAATAGTATTGGTGATAAATTTATTTCTAAATATAAATTAAGAATTGTATAATACAGCTGTGAATAAATTTGTCACGAGAAAAAATGAAAAAATTTTGATGACAATTATGCGTAAATGTTTGCTAATATTGACATGATTTGTGATTTACTTAAAATATACATCTACACGACAATCATTCAACATGTTATGATTTTTATGTGTTTTCTGTGTTATTTTTAATTGTTTCCTAATTTTCAATTACGATTTTAACAATAGATTTATATTGATATTTTTCAGTTCAACTTTGTCGGAAGAATATTGGGTCCACGAGGTATGACGGCTAAACAATTGGAATTAGAAACAGGATGTAAGATTATGGTTCGAGGAAAAGGTTCAATGCGTGATAAGAAAAAGGTATGTATGACAATTAATTGTTAATTTTGTATTGATTTTTCTTGTCTAACACTATACATAAATATCGTTTATTTGCTAACACCATTATCGGAAGTTTTTGATACAGAATCGTAAGTAAATACGAATTGGATAGTTTCAAATGTTTTATCAATTAATTGTTATTATGTATGTTTGAAGGAGGAACAAAACAGAGGTAAACCCAACTGGGAACATTTAAGCGAAGAACTTCATGTTTTGATATCCGTTGAAGACACTGAAAACCGGGCTAAGCTTAAGTTGAAGAGAGCTATTGATGAAGTTAAAAGGCTTCTTGTACCTGTTAGTTGAAATTATTTTTACAAATCTTTTTGGTTTTTAATTACAATAAAATAAATTAAAGTCTTAATTACTTTTTAGGCTGATGGAGAAGATGAATTGAAGAAACGCCAACTAATGGAACTTGCTATCATCAATGGTACTTATAGGGACTCAAACGCTAAAGCCTTGGCAGCAGCTGGTAAATTAATCTTTACTGTACCAAAAATAATAATAATTTATTTAGTATTTTAATCACAATATAATAACTTTGAAATATTCTAGCTTGTGATGAAGAATGGCGTAGGATGGCTGTTGCAGCAGCTGCTGAGACACAGCGACTTTTGTCGCCACATGGTATGGGTGGTCTAGCCACAACTTTGCGACCACAAACCGCTACACCATTAACTGCGCCACTTATATTATCGCCACGTATTCCGACTGCAATTACTACCAGTGGTGGAAATCCTGGTGCACCTCAGTTATTATCTCCAGCTGAACATCATCATCATGCTGCAGCAGCAGCTGCTGCAGCTGGTCTTATATATACACCATACGCTGATTATGCCAACTATGCATTAGCTGGATCACCATTGATCACAGAATACACTCCTGCCGATCATTCGGGTGCGTTGTTGTTTGTTTGTTAAAAAAAAAAAGATTTATATAAATATATATATTATATATATTTATATGGTGTATATGATTGAATGCGCTTGGGAGACTGAGAAATCATTATTCAGAATGAAAATAATTTAAAACTACAATTAAAATGCCCCTATTCAAATATCACTAAACAATTATTAGTTTTCAATAAGACTGAAGAAAAACACATATGAACCTAATCAGTATTTTTTACTTTTCAAAGCAAACTGTTCTTGAGATATTTTTTAAATTTTAATTTATTTTTATTATTATATTAAAAGAATGTTCGGCCAGATACATGCTAATGGTTCCAGAACTACAAGGGCTCACCTACCGTCACTGGCCAAATCAACGTTAGTACCATCCTTAGTATTTGGCCATCCAACCCTTCTTTTTTATGTTTGTGAGGTGCTATCTTATTTATTAATTATGTATAATCTTAGGAATTAATTTTATTTCAATATTCCTTATTATTATTTTTTTATTATTATGATTATTATTATTATTATTATTATTATTATTTATATAATTATTATTTATCTTGTTAATTTTATTATGATTATTATTATTATTTTTTTTTTTTTTTTTTTTGATTCCTTAATATTTTGCGCGCTTTTAATCAATTTTATTACTCAAAGCTTTTATTTTTTATAGTAATTATTAATAGATTTTATTTTAGTTATATATACATATATATATATATCCCTTCTTTATCTCTGTTTCTTTCGCGTTTAGTTAGTTCAAATATTAGTCTAACTCAACTAAAATATTATTTTAAAAAACTAGGTGTGTACTAATAAATTTAATACGGTAATCAAACATTTTTCCTAATAATACTCCTCAAGTACTTCCTATTGAAAAAAAAAATAATGTTCAGAACTTTTATTCTGACTAGTAAAACAATTTTAATAAGTAATAACAATTAAATAAATCCCTAATATTTTTAGTATTTTTCATAGTTTTAAAATTAGTGAATTTAAAAATATCTCTCTTATCTTCTTAGTCAATATTTTCAACTAACTGGGACAAATATTCAAATAATTTTTAGAAATATGTAAACCAAGGTGTGACTCTAACATTAATAGTTAATACTAAAGTTTTAACAAATATAAAGTAAAATATTAAAAACATTAGGACCCGAATTAACAAAATACTTGAGGGACCAAAAAGAACCACCAAACAGGTTTTTTACTCATAAGAAGAATATTATATACTTCTGACACCTAAAGTTCCTTAATTTGATAAGAATGAAATACCATGACAAACACTTATAATATTTTAATTATGTTTATATTATATTATATTATAATATTATTATAAAGAAAAAAATACTCAGGCTGATTATATAATTAATGTAATGTATATTTTTTTTGTGATTGTTTAGTACACATCTATGTTTAGAATTTGTTATACATATATAATATATATATTTATTTTAAATTATGATTACTATTATTTTTGTACAAGTTGTAGGCGGTCGACGTTTTAAAATGGAACCTGGCTCTCTAACGGTGTTTTTATAAATGCATTACAAAAATTAATTTTCAATAAATAAATAGAAATAATATGTTTATAGCAGGTGCAGCAGCCGCGGTTGCGGCGGCGGCTCAGGTCGCCAAACAAAGAAGGCATTTGACTCAGATCAGGGATCATCCGTATCAGAGGGTTGGCACTTCGATTGTCAATTAAAAAAAAAAAAAAAAACCAAAATTAAAAAAAAAGTTCTTTGAATCTGAAAGGTCAGTTGCTATTCGTTTTTAATTTAGGGTTAGACAATCATAGTTTATAGGGTATAATCTGGCGCGATTATCAAATTTCAAAGACTCCAATTTTACATCAATTTCAATGATCCATGCGTAATTAATTTTATTTATGCTTCTTTTTTTTTTCTAGACCTTTTTCGGTTGTGATATTTTTATTTATTTTTTCTCATCATTTATTTTTGTTTATGTAGGTATACTATCAATATTATATACCTACATTTAATATATTTTATAAATATCATTTATAGTTAATTTATATACATTTTACATTTTATGATTTTTTTGCTTATTATGACAGTATTATGTAGGTGTAGGAGCTACATATATATTAATTTGTAGATTTAACATTTAAGTATATTTTTCACGTATTGTGTTCTAATATTGTATTTAACAGCAAAACCGAAGATTTGTTTATTGGTGAAGGTAGACATCTATCAAAATTATCTACGATTACTACGAAACATCCCTTATTTTGCACTATAATATTAAAATTTAATGCATATAATATATAGACAGTGGAATGAAAAAAACTTACATTACTGATTAAAATATAAAAATAATAATCACATGAAAGTCTTTTTTTGTATTACTCATATGTATTTTACGTCATAACGCTTTTCATTCATATGGTAGTAAAATATTGTACTAATAACTATTGAAATACACTCGACAGAACATTTATGTTTGTCACCGGCGTACTTATACTAATACAATAATAGAACATAATACTTTTAGCTGCTATTTTTTTTTTTTTTTTTTTGAAATATTTCATTACTAACATGTTTTTTTATTTATTTTTTATTTAACCTCAAAAAAAGGCTTGCGGAGATCTAACATACTGGACCTTTATTTTAACACCACACAATGCAGCCTGCGGCCGAAGTGCGACGATTGCCAGACGGAACTATAATTAACAACTAAACAATATCATTCTGCGCACATATATACACACTTAAAAAAACGCAATGTTGCACTTAAAATTATTCGTCTAACCAATATCTGTCTGTCTAATCATTTTCGTATAATAATATTTGTTTTATTTATATTATTATAGTGTTTAATGTTGTTTCGTAATATTACAATTTAAAGACTAGATAGATTTATTTTGTTGAGTCCCTTTATGCCTTTAAAAACATATGTATCTATATTTGTTTATTTTGGTATTTATGTCGACAATCGTTATACGCTTGTCATCACTAGTCTTAGTATTTTTGTTTGTTTATTTCCTGAACACTGAACCACCACAATGGTCTAATAACAAAAAGTATACGACATTTAAAAATATAAAAGAAAATTGAACAAACTTTTTTTTACAACCCTACTTATTAAATTTGTTTAGTTTAAACAAGGATATTATAAAATAAGAAAATTAAAAAAATATATAAAAACATTTTTTTTTTTTTATGTTGTTTTTATTTATAAGAACTATTTAATATTTTATTTATAGTGTGCAATAAAATGTTAATTTTTTTTTTTTAGAAAAGTTTTTCGATATTATTATGTAGAGAAAATTTTCAGTATTAAATATAATTAAAATATAATTTCTTTAATAAAACCATATGCCAGGTGCCAAAATCGACCCATGCCAGTTCGTTCTACACTTTTTTTTGTTATAGAATTATGTTAAATAAATATAGAATATAATACTCACAATAATTTAATTATTAGTGAGATATATTTAAAATTATATATTTTATTAAAATATATATTTATACGTAATGAAAAAATTAATATATATTTATATATATATATGTAATTAAGTTTTTATAATATTTTTGTAAGTACTTAAGAGCCTAAATAATTTAGACAATCTCTCGAATAGGCTAAATATATATATATATATATATCATATACATACATTATTATATTACTTTATTTTATTTTGTTGTTTACGAATCTCAACGTTAAAATAGTCGTGTTTTTGTTTTTTCTTGTTATTTTAGACATTTGTAGTTAATTTATAAAATAATTATAAATATACATATAAAATAAATGTATATTTTAGATTTTAGAAAGAAAAATTTTTGTTTGTAGATGAGCACTTTACTGCCCCCCCCCAAAATAATTAATAAATAACTGTTTGATGTATTTCAGGCTCATGTGCCATAGGGTAAATTTTTTTTTCTCTTTAAACATATTAAGATTTAATATTATACATTTTAATTTATTTCAATATATAAAACAATATTTATATTATGTAAACTATATTTATATAATATATTGTATTAATATTATACGCTTGACAATATGAATTTTAATTTTATTTATAAATATATGTGTATATGTTTTATAGAAATATATATATATCATAGGAGTTTCTATTTTAATCAAATTTATCAATGTTGCATGTAAGGTTTTTCAGATTTTTATGGAATTTATTTTGTAAATGAAAATGTTTTATGAAATGATATAAATAATAAAAAAAGCATGTAGAACAGTTTTTTTTAAATTTTATTTTTTATTATCCATTTCTTCTTTTCATCATCATACCACTGTTTGTGTTGGGTAGCTTACATATTAAAATAAACTTTTTGTTTGCACTCACTGCCAAATCCACATGGAGTTGCTAATGAATAGAACAGTGACGTTAAGAACAAGTCATAAAAACATATTGGCTCGTGTAGTACAATTCATATGATGTACCCTGATGTATAAATTAAATGTTTAATTGTATTTTATAATATGTTGCAATAACTGAATAATTGTTTTTTTTCTTTATTAACTATGGTATATCTTTGACTTAGTTTATGCTAAGTCAACATATTAGCAAGAAAACAATTGTAATAATCAAATGGCAACCGCTGTTGGCCAAAATAATAAGAATATCATAGTTGTGGCCTGCATATTAAAACGAAATTTTTTTATATACTTAGTTTATTTAAGTAATTAATTATTGTATATTGTTTAATTTGTAAATTTTATATAAATAAAAAAAATGTTCTTGCATATTTTTATGATTTTTACTGCATATTATATGGCATATTTAAATACTTTTTAGTACATAAAAATCTGTGCTCCAATTATGACTAATGGTGGGTTGTTAAGCATATGGTTTTAATACATTATGATACTATTTCATAAATTATTTAATTTTCATTTATTACTATATGACTATGGAGAAATAAAATGAGTTAATAAATATCGCATATAGTAACATATGTAATATGCAACATATTTATTGAGCAATAATTTAAGAATAGAAATGTAAAATTATGTTAAATTTAATATCAAATATCAATTATTATTAGATGAAATATTTAAAAAAACAAATTACATGATTATATTAAATCATTCATAATATTATCTTATTAAAAATAGTCTTGGTGCTAAAGGTAAGAATCATTGAAATTTGAAATCCTCTTTGTGGATGAATGATAGACGACAGTTGAGATTAGTAGATTAGTTGATGTTTAATTTAGTATTATCAATATTGTCAAGTTTTTAAATGTCAGTGCCGTTTGTATAAATAATGAAATTCATAGTCAGATCTTTTAGTATACTTGAAAAGTATACCTTGAAGCTTTCCATACTACATACTTTGGCAAAATAACTTGTTGCTTAATATGTTTGAGGTGGATGTAAACTGACATAAGTGCTTTGGTATTTTTTCTAATGAATACAATTTTTCAGTAATATTCAGTTACAAAAATATTCTACATGAGTAATTATTTTCCTAAGCTAATGATTTAAGTTTATTTTATGATTACATTTATAATTAACAATTTCAATATAGTAGCTTGGCGTGGCGCGTTGGCTGCTACCAGTTGCGGAATGCGACTGAGAGTAAGTAATGGCCACAGCTACTGGCTCTCGGATGGGTGACCACCCAGGATCATAGTGGTTAAAAACCTTGCCACACATACACATGTTTACTATCAACTGTAACAATCATAAAAATACAACCTACCGTACCAACTTTATCCCTACCACAGTTCATAACCCCTACAACAGCTAATGGCCCTAGTCGCCGAAGCTTAAATTCAATAAAAAAAAAAAAAATTTTTAATATACAATACATTAAATATTTAATTAAATTGTATGTATAAAAATATACTAGGTAAAAAGTAACTACCTTTAATACGAAGTTTTTTTCTAATAAAAAAAATGAAAACAATTTACATCACAGCTTAATTTTTTTTACAGCTATGTTAAAAAAAAGATTTTTAGTTTAAATTAATACTTTTAAAAGTATTTTTGTACATAACTTCTATTTATTTTGAAATATAATACAATTGTATGCAAAATAAATAAAATGAATACATAATATACAAAAAAAAAAAAAATTAAAACATAATGTACAATGTGCTTTAAAGAAATAGAAAACTTTGACTAATGAATTTATAGTTGTTGATTTTTACTTATGGTAATTTTAATCATTAATCTTATTGTTATGAGTGATTAATATTATGGAGTAGTAATTATCTTTGAAGGAATGAACAGAAATACATAATTGTAATCGTTCTGATAACAAAATCTTGTTTATACTAATGGTTTTCATGATATTTTTCAATTTGATTCCGATTAAAGTCACTATGACAAACATTGCATTTAATTTTCTCAGTCTTTAAGCAACTTCTACATTGCAGATGTTTACAAGGTAAATAATACAAATTGCAGTTGCTGTTACATGTACTACATTGTACTTTGGCTTTTTTAGTCTGTCGTTCTGTGTAAAAACTAAAACTATGTTTACCAACTGCACGTGGTATACATTTTATATTATCATCATCTGCATGTTTTATTAAAAATGAATCAATTCGTCCTTTCAATTCAGGTAGAGGTATTGGTCTTAGTTTATCTGTAAATGGTATTCCGGTGAAAGGGTCACAAGGTGTACGTCCATATACGGTATCATGTTCAATGCATTTTTCTATTGTTGATCTGTCAACATATTTTCCACTAGGTAGAACCATAGGACATGTCATTACTTCATAAGTAATTGAATCTAAAAAGTCATCACACATAATGAAAGGATCAGTATTTTTTTCTGTTATCAGTTGTGTGTTAATTTGTTTTTGTATTTGTTTTGGTATTTTACTCTCTTCCCAATTACGAGTTATTGATTGACGAATTTCTTTCGGTACACTACATGAAACTTTTCCCCAAATTTCCAACTTACCTATTGCAGGTATAGAATTTGCTGTTTTGAAAATACCCACGGATAACTTTTCAGCCGATCTGATATTTCTACTAGCCGATATATTAAAACAGCATTTTTCATAATTGTTCCCAAAGGTAGATAAATCCGTACTATTGTCATGAAATACTATCATTTCATTATTAGTTACCACAGAACAGATCTTTTGCATATTGTTACTGCGTCCTGCCCATATCTGAAATCCTGAAGACTTTTGACCGCCTACTCTAGTGCCAATTACCACATACTTAATGTCAAACGCAAATGGGAAACTAAATGTTAAGCTTATAGGTGGCCGAATAAAAGTCTCGCAAAGAAATCCTTTTTTTCGTAATTCCACATCTGATGAAATAAGATTCTCAACAGAATAGTCTTCTCGAGAAATACAACTGCCATCCAACTGTATATTTGCATTGAAAATTGGATCACATGCATTTATTAACTGAAAATCAATAAATCTGTGTTATAATTCATAATAATATTAGCTTAATGTCACTGATTACTCACCATATTGATTTAATTTTGTAAGTCTCTAAACATTCTACTTGATTGAAGTATTGTTACAGAATTACTGCATGATAAATCGATTGCGTGAGTTTAACTTAAGATACAACATTTTATAATTTATTTTATTGAAATGAGTATTTAGATTTTTCATGTTTTAACCGAGTTCATTCATCTTAGATCTTTATTATACTCACCAATGAACATATTTTGTCATAATATGAACATTATGAACCTTTAACTACTATCTACATGGTCTACTTATACAGTTATACAATCACCAACTGTTTGTTTTTTAATTTGTTATCACTTATCATTATTGTTGTGTGTATTTTTTACCAAATATAGATAGTAATAACTTTAATATAGGACATGATATAGTACTATATAGGTATTATAGTTAAAATTGTTAAAAGTTGATCGATCTAAATATTCAATTCCAAACATCTAATTTATTCTTAAGAAAATTAATATATTTTGTGTTTATTTTTAAATCTTAATTGTATTTTTAGTTTGAGAATATCTAAAAAATTACTGTAAGGTATATAATTAAGTGTATAACTTGTCTCAATATCGTTTAGTATTTTTCTCTTTGAAAGTACTTAGTAGTTGGTGAATAGTTATAAGTGTTTTATAGTTTGAAGCATTGATTTTGAAGTTATAAAATATTATATACACTATGTCTCCACCAACTATAAGGTCATCTCAAGGAAATGCAGCTAGTCAAACACAAGGGCCTCAATATGCTAAAGTATTTGTTCAACGAGACTATTCAGATGGCACAACTGTAAAATTTATGACAAGTTTTCCACAAGGACTTGAAAACAAGGTAAGAATTTTATTGAATGCTTGATTTTATTAAACTATTGACTGTTTGAATAACGTTTGATTGTAGATCGAGCGATCGGTTTTTGAATATACAATCAATCAGTTGAATACATATTTTGCCGAAGCTGAAAAAGCGTCATGTAAGACTTACTGTGAAGGCTGTTTTGCATGCTTCACCGTGTATACAATGTTTTTGTGTGCAGATACACACTATGAAAAAGTAAATAAAAATTTAATTTTATATGTAGGTATTTCAAAATTACTATTAAATGATTGTTTAAACAAATTTTTAGTGTTTACGCAAAGTTGGAAAATTTATAGTTGAACAGAATGAAATGGTTTATTTACCAAGAGGTTTGCTGCTTACCAATCCTGCTGAACGAGGGCTAAGAATTGTATCCTTTTTTATTATTTTTTATTATTATTTAAGCTATATATTATTATGCAACTGCTAATTAATAACTAATATTTACTCTACTGACGTAACCATTTTTTTTAAAAATTTTATTTGAGTCGTAAATTATTGAAACCAGGATATTGGTGGTAGTGTAATTTTTCTTTATACAATATAGATTTATAATTAATTCAAATAATGATTCAGTGGTGCCATTTAAATTTTATTTATAAGGTTACTAAAATGGATGTAGTCTAATTTTTTTTCATTATCAGTTCACTTTTTCTTCATCTCAATAAATTTTAAATATACATGATATATGTTATGTATATTCCAATCCACAAAAGAACACACCTGTTTTCCAAATATAAACTGACTGTAACAATCAATATTGATTGATGACAATTTATAAGAAATTGGTGGGGGATATATGAGTTTTTATTTCCATTTAGATGTGTTCCTTGTGGGCTTAAATATATGTATGGCAAATGTTTGGTGTTGCTGAGTTATATTTTTATTATGTTGACGAATTAAAATAATTTGAAAGTCATATGCATAATGGTTTTTATAATATATTATAACTTTTATGTAATAGACTTTTAGTGCATTTGTAAATTTTAAGGCATGCTAAAAGAATAGACAAAAATAGGAGTGCTAAGATACACCCTACTATCCTTAAAGGGAGCCTCTGAAATGACTGAATCTTTTATTACATAAATAGATAGAAGAAAAGTTATTGGATGATTTAAAAGACTAGTTTTCTATACCTTATTTTTTGATTTTTATGTCATATAAAAAAAAAATGTACTTTGCCTTAATTCTTTATTAACAGATTGAAATAACTATGTTAGATCAACCTATAGTAGCCAGAACATGACTCACATTATCCGTTTCGACGGAAGAATTCTTCATGTGAAAATTGGCGAAAAATATTTGTTGAGTGTAATACAACTACTATTACAATATTGATGTCATACAAACAAAATGTCAACCTTTCAATGGTATTTCATTTAAATACTTTGAATTTTGCATTCTCATGGTCTATGAAAGAAAACTATTGTTTTGTTAGTATTAGTTATTTTTGGTTTTGTGTGGATTTGTTTAACTTTACTTACCTAATTTTGCATTTATTTAACTTTTTATTTTTATTATTAAAAAAAACCTTATTTTTAAACAATAAAAAGTTGATCAAATAAATATGTTTTTATCACCAAATAGTTTTTATTTATTTTAAACTTATAATTACATTTATATATACAAGCTAAAGAGAGTTGATAAGTCGTGACAAAATGTTTAATTGAATCATTGTTTAAAATTAATTGAGTATCCACCAGTATTTGGATCTTGGTTAACTTGGAAGTTTTGGGTAGATAAACCAAATGGCTTTAGTACCATATTGCCCAAATCTTTAAGTTTAGCCATCATTTCAGTTTTTAGTTTTTCATTACGCTCGTTTATTTTTTCTTGTAATACCTAAATTTATATGTACAAAAATTAATGAAAATTTTAATAATGAATAATTATTACTTACTCTAGCATTGTATGCTACTTCAGCATTATTTCGATCAATATCAAGGACTTTTTTTAGATCATCTAATGCTTCATCAAGCTTGTCATTGCGTTCAAACAATTTAGAACGTCTAATATATGCTTTTAAATAATCAGGATCTAACTCAATAGCACGAGTACAATCTTGAATAGCACTTTCTATATTCTGTTGATAAAATAAATAAAATAAATTAAAGGTAAGTACTAACAAAAGAATTTGTTATAACATACAATGTTAGATTTGGCTGCTGCTCGATTTGCAAAAAATATAGCTCTGTAATTCGGGAAAATTAATGGACAAGTACGCAATGCATCCGTGTATATTTTAGAAGCTTCTTCGTGTTCTTGATTCTTAAACTTGACGTTACCTTCATTTTTTAAACTAATAGCTTCTTGCAATAATTCCTAAAATCATGCATATCTTTGAGTATTAATTAAACCATGAAATTACTGGTAAACAAGTTTAATAGTATAAAATTATTTCATAAACATTCTTAAGATCTATAATAATATTACATATAATGAAAATCCTAATACTAACCCGTTTTTTTTCTTCTGGTAGTTTATCATCTCTTGCTTGTAATAGTGTGTCATCAATATAATCTTCATCTTTAACTTCATTTTCTTCGTTTACATTAGTATCAAACTCTGAATCTGATTCACTGTGATGAGATGCATCATCGCCAGAAATATCAGTTTTAATGGCTGAACTCTCCAAATCTTTAGTGAGTTCTTCTATAATTTCTTCATTAGAGGGAATTCCACTTTTATTATTAGAAGACATCAGTCCAAATTTTTAAAAATGTCTATACAACTGAAAAAATTTCAAACATAAATGAAATCACATCAATACTTGAATAGTATTTATTAGGCCTTACCAAGTGTTAATGTGTTAATTAAATGCAGTAGGGATAATTTTTCAGTTAAATGTTGTAAGCTCGGTAAACGTATTTGTTTACATTTAATGATATTGGTTTGGATGAAAGCATTAAAATATTATTAATTTTAAAGTGTTTATAACTACTAATGATAAAAATTAAGTTCAGACTGTTCTGAGAACAAAATATTTTTTAGTTCATTTTTTAATCATAATTTAATAATTTGTGATTGTAACTTTATCATAATAGCATTGATAACAAATAAGATCATAACCAAAACCATGGTTAGCTCTTGCTAATATCTTTTTAACCTCGGTCTTAAATAGATCATAGAGTAAATCCACAGAACAATACAGAAACGACACTCGATCAGCTGGGCGGTTTACTGTATCCCTACGGTATGAAGTATTGGATTCTAAAAGTTAAAACCGTATCCGTAATCTGACTAGATGTTGGTAATGTTTACCGTACCCCTATTTGTTACGATATTAAAAAAAATAAATAATGACTACAAGTCCAATTGGCAATTCGTTTATAAGGCGACTAAAACCCTTTAGTGGTAGGTATAGAGTAAGTCCTATGGAGTCGAGTGATATCATTTTCAAATATATAGTACAACATTTTGATTTTTAGTAATTTTATTTCAGACTATTTTTAAACCGATTCGTATCTACCGCTGTAATGTATATTACGTCCGCACGTAACGTATCCTATGAAAAAAAATTATTAAAAATCAAAATTTTGTTCTACAGCTTTAAAAATGGTATCACTCGACTTCAAATGACTTACTCTATACCACCAAATAGGTTTAATTCCCCTGGTAAGCAAATTGCACTTGTAGTTAAACGTAGTATTTTATCTCTGTAATCCTGCATCAAGTATTATTTTCTAGACAACTCGACCACACCACCACTGTATGCTAATTTTCTGCATCCAAAATGCATTTCCTACTTAGCGGAGATCCTAACGAAGCCAGGGATATGATTATCTAAGTCGTAATACAAAATTTTTAATGAATTATAAACCGATTCGTCTCTACCGGCATAATGCATATTATGAGTACCCGGGACATAATGTACGAAATAAAAATTACTAAAAATCCAAATTTGGTTTTACAGCTTTCAAAATGGTATCTCTCGACTCCACCAACCATGTATGCTAATTTTACTCTCCGAAATGCATCCCCAGCATAGCAGAGATCCTAACGACGAATTCGGTGATATGATTGGCTAAGTCGTAGTAGATAATAAATCGATCGTCTGGTAGGTATGTACGGGATTTACCGGCGGATTACGATTCCCCGCGCCCGCTAAACTTCCAAACATAAATACTTCCAAGGCTCTGTTTCACCTTATCAAAAACGAGATAAACACAGTACTAATGGTTATATGAACAATATATTGTTGAAAATTAGTTGAAACTGTTGAAAGAACACTGAATAATAATAAAAAAATGCAACTATTGCAATTCCAGATTTGCTCGTTTCTAGCAATGTTTGTTTACATAAGACCCGCGAAGATTACGCGGGAAATGGACTGTTTCCGTTTTTATAATATCGTAACAAATAGGGATGCACATTACCAACATCTAGTCAGATTACGGATACGGTTTTAACTTTTAGAATCCAATACTTCATACTGTAGGGATACAGTAGACCGCCCAGCTGACCGAGTGTGAGTGTTGTTTCTTAAGTTTCTTTTCTAATTTCTACATATATTGTTCTGTGAGCCTGTGACCATAGTATTATATAGTGTAGTATGCTATGAGATAGATGCAATATAATTAAACTTATTACATTATCATAAAATCTTATTTAAAATAATTTTAAATGATCATTAACCATTACTTTTAAATCCGTCATGGGCAGAGGCGAAATGGCCCACCGGAATACTGGGAAAAATCCTGGTAGCCTGGAAGCTAAATGGCCCGTTGGCCTGAAGTATTGATAGAAAAAAAAAAATGAAAACGAAATCATACTAACAATTTAATTAATAATCACTTTTATATTATTTTTGAAATTTTGAATCTGATAAGCGATAACTATTCGATATTATGAATTTGTCGTTGGCCGTACATAGTATATACGATATACCTACACTCACGTTAGTATAGTACACATCATCTATTTTTATAACTTTCCCAAAGTTCTGCAACACAATAATAACTAATTGCCTCGTGACTATCGAGTCAAATATACATTTTTACATTTTCCCATATTTCGTCATCAGAGTATCTATTTGACAGAATACAGTATGATGGTCTAGTGGATCCTAAACCAGTCTAGATAAAATCCAGTACCTATCCCGCAAACATATACTGTCCCGTAACACAGCGTTTCCCAACCTTTTTGCAATGGCGACCCATACATTTAATCTTTATTAGGTACGCGACCCCCCCCCCCCTTAAAAAAAGTATGCCTTAAATAAATAAGATTTTTACTATATTCCATTTTATCATTGAATTTTATAAAATACAATACAAATACAATATACTGAATAATAATAACTTAATTAATAAATAAATAAAATAAATTATAAAAAAATACAAAAAATTAGTATAATAGAAAAATTAGTGTGAATTTTGATTTTGGACACTGTTGCATAAAATTTCCCACTGGGGTACAATTTCAGATAAACTGATGCGCATGTCATGTGTGACATCTAATCTGTTTCTTTGTTTTGTTTTAATATTGGCCATGGTAGAAAATCCTTTCTCGCACAAATAAGTGGTAGGAAAAAGTAATAGTTTTTTTATTGCATTAATTGAAAGTTCTGGATATTCATTATATACTGCACACCAAAAATCTACAAGAGTTTCATTTTTAAATTTATGTTCATAAGTTTTATCACAAGAAAGATCGATAATCTGAGTTTCAAGAAGCGTATTGAAGTTCAACTCTTCAATAGAAACAGTAAAAGGATTTTCAATCCATTGAAAATCGTCACGAATATCTTTCGGGAAATAACTATTCAATGCAATTGATATTTGATTTAAATGCAATGAAATAATTGTTTTGATATCATTGACATTCACCGAGTCGTCTTCTTCTAGAAACTCGCTAAGTACAAAAAACATATCAATATTTCCTAACCTTACGAATTATAAATTTATCCATTAGGTAAAAATGTGTTAAAATAGTTAAAAATGTGTGTTTAATCGAAAACTTAACTTTTCGTAGTCTCGATGTACCGCTCGTTGCTCAACTGTATATTATGGATTATGGACAAACGACCAAGCCGATCGCATCGACTAGTCACTAGTCATTAGCACATTTACCGATAAGATAAAAAAAATTCCATAATCAAAATAACTTTACGTCATTTATTCTACAATACTAGTTATTTATACTATTTATCAATTTACGACTAAAATAACTGTAATCGTAACCTCGAGTCGCGACCCATCAAAAAAATTTCGCGACCCAATAATGGGTCGCGACCCATGGTTTGGGAAACGCTGCCGTAACATACAGTATCTCGTAAATATATATTATTCTGTAACAGTATCCCATGAATATATATGTGAGATACTATATACATATTCGCAGGATACTACATATTCTCGAGATACTGTATGTTACGGGATAGTATATACTTGCGATATATTTCATACTCGCAGGATACCAACTGTATGTTATGGGGTACTAAATATTTGCATATTTGCGGAAGAAAATAATAAAATGTTTGATGTGTTGTCATTTAGAAGTAAAAAATTTTTATTACGATTTGTAATTACTAGATGACTCATATTGTCTATAGCGATTTGTAATTAATTCAAGTTTACAGGTAACTTTGGCGTAATACTTTCTTATTAATATTAAATCGTCAAAAACCTAACCTTGTCAAAGTGTCTATGTCTTGTTTAAGGTGGATATGAATAATTTTACTTGGCTTCTCCTTAATATCATCAACAGCTTTAGGTTTCAGTTGATAACTTACAGTCTGTCTATTTAAAGTTTCATCATCATCTTTTTCGTTGTTTTCATGATTTAAAACTTTTTTGATAATTACGTTATTATTTAAATGAATATACCTATGTTGTAGTACCTTTATACTATATTTATACTTCATACTTTTAAAAAGTTTTTTTTTAAATATAATATTCATTTAAATATTGAATATTTCCTGGTTTTCCTCGAAATGAGTGATAGTAAGATAAGGAAAAACGGTTTTGAAGAGAGAAAGAAAAAAGTTATTGATGCAAAGTGGAAAACAATGTATGAAATTAGATTCATGTTATTGCAAAAGAAATTTACCTAAATTTTTAACGAATACTGAAAATATCTTTGATCATAATGATTTATCATCTAAAATCGATTATATTTATTATTTATTAACATATAATATTATCTAAAAACATTCTAAGATTAATACATTTTGGTTAGGCACCTATTTTAGTTTTTAGATTTAAAGTTTCTTTTAATAGTTATATCAATAAAATACATAGGTACCTAATAAATAGTTGTTATTTACCTTTAGGTATACATTTAAATACAAAATTCATTACATACATAAATAAAATAAAGTTTCTATTCAAGAGACGAAAAAGTTGAATGGCCCGGAGGAAATTTATTCTCCTGATCTGAATTTGTTCCCACTCTGCCCTTGGCCACAGGACTATTTATTTTAATATAGTAGGCATTAGAGATGGTGTTTCACAAGAATGAATTTTTTGTCAAGTTCTGTTCTTCAGAGTTCAGACTAACCTATTACACGCAACACCTTAGCGGTGGACTATACAGATGACAAGGCAATGATATCAACTAATACAGCTTTTTTTAACTTCTACTTATCATAAAAATCATCATTTATCATTCTTAAATGGAAGATTGATATAGAAAATAGTAGTTAACCAAGACAAATCAATCTATATTTCATACTATTAGGTACCCTTAAACAAGCATAATCTTTTCATTTCCTCAAAACTGAGCAAGTTAATAGGTACAAACTTGAAGTTCATTTTAAAATATAAATTAATTTAAGTAAGTAAGGTAAGTAACACATTTTCAGAAAATGATAACTTATTTAAATTTACTCATAAATATTTTTATCTTATCGAAAATAAAATGACTAGTTTTAGTAAAGTAAATTATTATTATTATTATTAATATATTTAATTAACAGACCGGTGCAATATCGTCCGG